CAGCGCGTGGGTGTCCAAAGCGATAACCCATCGCCGGAAAAACCACAAATCACGGCTCAAGACTCCTACCCTAGGTAAAACACCTAATTTGGAGTCACTTTTGTTCTTGGACGTACCCCAAAAACTGACCGGAAGTGGCCGGAATCGCGATCCCGAAACCGGCCGAATTTCAATTCGTAGATCGAGCTACTTACGCTACAAATTGATCAATTCCTACCCAACAGGCAGCTAGAGCTCGGAAAATAGGTGAGAAACCATACCTCACTTGCCGGAATCGGTGGCCGGACGACGGAGAACGAAGCCGGCGAAGTTTCGGGCGAAACCGGGCTGTTTTCTTCGATTTTCCGGCGGAATCCCGGCGGCTGGCGGCGAGACCCGGCTGGGGTAGGAAGAGGACGGCGGCCCGGTCATTTTGGTACCGGCCCCGTCGACTTTGGTGGCCAGACGAAAGCGCGGCCGGCCAAAACGTGGCCGGCTGTTCCAGCCGTCGCGAAAACCAGAGGAGAGAGGGAGAGACGCGCGGGAGAGAGAGAGTGTGAGAGACGGGGGCAATTCCGTCTTTTAACCAAAAATCCATTTTCCAAATATTTACGATTATGCCACTGAGCTTCTTTTGATCATATCTCTCTCGTTACAACTCCGATTCGAGCCCACTACGTGTCTACGGACTCATCTCACCGTGCTCTACGCAACGGTACAACCGGAATTCTCAAATTCCTTCCGGGTAAGAAAATGACTAAAATACCCCTATCCCACGGGTAATTTCTCAATTCCACTTAAATAAATTAAAACATGGGATAAATTTGGAGTCGGGGTGTTACATTTATGGAATTAATTATATGATTATTCCATCCAAATATGAGCAGGTCCAAATTCTACAAATTGAAGAGTTTATCTACAAATCAAGTTCTATGCCCACTTAGGTTCATTTTAATGAGAACTCAAGGTGGAGTTCTTTACAAGTGAAGGGGTCTGATGTAGGATGAAATATGGGTCAATTATGGTGTGAAAAATTAATTAAAATAAAGTGGTTCAAAGTTGGAAGGAAATCATGCAAGAGAGGAAAATTCCAATTAAATGTCAATTATGGCGCTAGGAAAAGAAGGAATGCGTATTGTTGGGATTTTCTATTTGATTAAGAAAGTTTGAAGCAATTATGATTCTGTCAAGATTTGTATTTAATTTAAAGTATTATTTTATATTTTGAAGAATAAGTTATCTATTAGGATATTATTTTTCTAACATGATTTATATTATTTTCTTGTTAGCTAAGTTTAGGAATATTCTAGAACCTAGGGTTTCCTACGGTTTTATGGTTTCTTTGTTTTCTATTTAAGCCAACTCATGGCGTTGTATTTGTAAGTTTATTCAATTTATTTTCAATCAATATATTTAAGATTTACTCAATTTCTCTGGTGGATTCCAGTTTGTTGGTGGATTTCGACATTGTTACTTGTATGGGTTCGATCTCTATATCCCTTATATCTCGCTGCGTCATAATAGGCTTCAAGGGACAAGAAAAACTGCATCCAAATAATTTTCATACCTTTTTTATTATATTTTATTGGTTTAACTTCTATGATAGACCTACCAAAAACACATTTCAATATGAAAGCGATGAAAATTAATTAAAAAGTAAAAACGTGTAGAATGAAGAGCCAAATGAATATTGAAGATGTAGTGTTGCGGGTTATGGCTATGTGGGAGGAAGTCACACTTCATAGCACGTTGTAGCAACGCTTTCTTTCAGACTGCTTTTGCTACAACATCCGGTGTGCAAACAGGATAAACAAATGAGCTTTAGGGATACAATGAAGCCCAATAATACACTGATTTTACTCTGCATTGCACAACTGAAGAGTCACCAAACACACTAAGAGATTAACAAGGACGTTCAAGCTTAACTACGAACTAATACTACATAAATTAGTGCTTTCTTGTGCTTTTGTTTCTAATGTATGCAATAGTGATAAGTTCATAAAAATGTTCTTATTTTTTATTTTTTTGTTGATTTTTTTTTTTTTTTTTTTTTTTTTTTTTTTTTTTTTTTTTTTGCTGCTAAACGAACCCTAAAATTAATTGAGTACACTCTATGATCTAAGTACACCTTAATATTTAAATTAAAATGTAAAATTAACTAAGTACACCCTTGTTTGACTATCAAAAATACACTTGTTACACCCTAATACACTTGATAGGGATGATATCTCTCCTACACATCAAGAACTCCAAGTTGAAGTTCCAAAAACTCTAACTTGGAAATGTCAACGTGTGGCTTAAATAGCCAACAAGAAGATGAGGAAAAATTTGGGAATTTAGGCCATATGGTTTCTTGGGCTCCTCTTGGGCCATTTAACTTGTGTTGTCATACAACACATGTTGCTAGGCCCAATGGGTCCTTGGGTTATTTTGCCCTTTGGCCCAAAATGTCTATAAAGCCCAAATCAAGTCCAACCTTTAAACTAACTTCACAATTAACATTTTAATTGTGATTTGTTACATAACCATTTTAAAAAAAAAAAAAAAAAAAAAAAAAAAAAAAAAAAAAAAAAAAAAAAAAAAAAAAAAAAAAAAAAAAAAAAAAAAAAAAAAAAAAAAAAAAAAAAAAAAAAAAAAAAAAAAAAAAAAAAAAAAAAAAAAAAAAAAAAAAAAAAAAAAAAAAAAAAAAAAAAAAAAAAAAAAAAAAAAAAAAAAAAAAAAAAAAAAAAAAAAAAAAAAAAAAAAAAAAAAAAAAAAAAAAAAAAAAAAAAAAAAAAAAAAAAAAAAAAAAAAAAAAAAAAAAAAAAAAAAAAAAAAAAAAAAAAAAAAAAAAAAAAAAAAAAAAAAAAAAAAAAAAAAAAAAAAAAAAAAAAAAAAAAAAAAAAAAAAAAAAAAAAAAAAAAAAAAAAAAAAAAAAAAATGTTTAACGATGTAAAACATCTTCCAATCCCACGGTGTTGTATCCATTATCTATGTAGTCCCCTGTTTGATGAAGTTCTATAGCAGGTCTCTGTTTCTAATCCTGTTTCTCTCAGAGTACACACACCAAGACGACTTGAAACTGTCATTTTCAATATTTATTGTAAAATAGGTCATCATGTAAATCTTTCATTCAACTTTCAAACAACTTCCATATGAAAAAGGAAAACAGAGTTACTCCTGTTCGATTTTTTGTACCATACACAATCCAACCTCAAGTAAAACCCACACTACTATTTACACAGATACCATGAATCTATAATATCGAACATAAAATTGAAACAGAGAAAGCACAGACACCAGAAACGGTCTCCTCAAAGCATCGATTTTTGTCATGGTGTGCAGTGAAAACGTGAACTTTATGCCCATGGGATACAAGTTTCAACAGCCACATCTACAATTAGTCTTTCAGCTCCACCTCCACATCAAATTCATAAATACAGCCTTCAACGACAATAGAAAGAAGAAGTAGAAATTACCTATGCCCAGAAAATAATAGCAACGTTCAACTTTCAGCTTCATTTCTTCGCCATTTCAGCTCTCCAATTCTCTGCATTCTAATCAAAGTCTAAAAAGATAAGCTTTTTCTGCTAATTGGGCCAAAACTGGGTCGGTTCTGGCCAACATTTGTAATATAAAGTATTGGGTTCTGGCCGAGTTCGATATGATCGACCCATTTCAGTTTCGAACCGAAGACAGGTCGTGATCTTTCAGTCTCAACTTCTCGCACAGAAGAATCTGAAGAAGAGAAGAGAAGAGAAAATGAGTGGAGAAGAATTAGCGGCCCCCCAGCCCCAAAGTCATCCGTTGCTTTTTTTGTCGGGCGTTGGCTGCAAGTCTGAATTGTCATTTCCACATTTGAAGTCTTTGGTTTTTGAGAGAGAAAGAGAGAGTCTCTGTTCTTCTTCTTCCTTTTTAACTGTTTGGCGGATTTTAAACTGGATAGTTATTTGGCATTTTTTTCTTCAGGGCTTCATGATAGGTTCGCAGATTCAAAAAAGGCAACAAAGAAGGCAAATTAAAGAAAGCATTCCTCGCTTTACGGGCAATAGAGACTAAACTATTGAAATGAAATAGAAAGCATAGATCAGGTCGCGGGATGTAGTGTGGTTGGACGGTCCATCCGGCGACATGCAGTTATTTTATGTGAAAAATTTGCAGGTGAATCGTCTGACCAGACATGAAGAAGACGAAAAAAGACGAAGAATAAAAGATAAGGGAAAAGCAAACGGAAAATGCAAAATATAAAAGTACAATATTAATAATATATATCTAGCCCTAAGTATCTGTCTATCCTCGGGCGGGGGACTGTTAATCATCACCTTAGAGGAACGCCTAGTTGTCCATCTATTCTGAATCGAGAACTTATAGACCTCTCTAGTTAATAATAACAAGGTAGTGAGCAACCACAAACCCCCCCCAAAAATCCCACATCTAAACCCCAATGTTGCAAGTATGAGAATAAACCAAGGACGTTGAAATGAAGCTCATGTGCTAGTCATTGATTTGCACTTTGGAAGTGGCGCACCACAAAGTTTTTGGGGTGTCCCATCAACGCAGAACAGTTTCTGTAAGCTTTGGAGTTGCGTGACTATTGGTACGATACTTCAAGGTTATTATATGAGCAATTAAATTCTCTTAGAAATGAAGGCTCGCCATAGGACGATGGGATTATTCCCGACACGTGATTCTGGAGAGGTTCAAAAACCTCAAAAATTTTAGGTTGATATATTTGGTCTGGAATGACGCCAGAGAAGTTGTTGAAGCAAGACCCAACGTGTGGAGACCCTGCCAATTGGCGATCTCAGTGGTATATCCACCAACAATGTTTTATTAGCTATTTATATTGCGGATAAAAATACAATTTTTGAGATAGAAAAGTTTGATTTTGCGGTTATGCTGACGTGCTGCTGAAGACAGGAAATTCCAATTCATAATCGTCCTTGAGATGCCATTGGTCATGAAGCAAACCTTGGTAGTCGACAAAGTTGCTGTGGAAATTCACCTGAAATTCGGTGTGTGACAAGCTTATATAAAACAGTCTAGTAAGAGTCCCAACCAATATGGAATCGGCCCTGTGATTTGATAAAACCCAGAGCCAAGATCTCTAAATTCTTGAGCTTTGATAACCAAAAAGGTATTTTACCAGTGAGGTTAGAAATGAACCAAACCCAAGACTCGAAGATTTTGGAATCCATCAAATCAACCATGTCATCATCAGATGGCATTCCCTCACCCACAAAGGAACCGCTAAGCAAGAGTGTGTGAAGTCTTTTGCAACTCATCAATATCTTCATTGCCCCTGTGAGGTTGGTGAATCGGTTGTAACCAAGCGAGAGGAAGGATAAGGATTTCAATGAAAGTATCTCAGCTTGTATTTGTCCCTCTAGATTATTTTCAGTCAACCGAATGGCTTTTAGGAACCACATGAGTAAAGGCTTACTGGAACCTACCAGTGAAGTTATTGATCCTTAGGTCAAGTTTAGTAAGTTGACTCAGTTTTGAGAAATCAAGCACAGAGATATCTCCTTCCAAGTGGTTGTTCCCCAAACGCAATTCTACAAGGTTTGTGCAATTGATCAAAGATGGGGGCAACACACCTTCTAAATTGTTGAAATCTAAGGTCACAAACTTCAACTTGGAGAGCTTCCCCCAATTGGGAGGAAGCTTGCCGCCAAATTGATTAAAGGAAAGGTCAAGGATTGGCAAGGTTGGTGAGGTTGACAATTTTATCACTAATGGCTCCATGTAGTGAATTGAGAGGTAATGCAATTTCTTCAAGTTTGGTAGCGTTATAGATATCTTCTGGAAGTAATCCTGAGAGGTTATTGTGATTGGCACAAAAAACCTTCAGTTCAGAACACTTGCCTAACCCAGGAGCAAGGTTGCCATTGAATAGATTGGAAGAAAAATCCAATAGCCTAAGGAAGGGAGAAGAATGTTGGAGACAAATAGAGGATGGGACACACCCTGTGAAGCTATTGTTGCTGACATTGAAACTAGTCAAGTTGCTTGCTTGTTGGAAGAATGAAGATGGAATTGCACCAGAGAAGTGATTGCTAGACAAATCGACTGTCCGATATTGCTGGACGATAGAGAATGTGGTAGCTCTCCAAAAAGACGGTTATAGCTCAAATCAAGGATCTCGAGTTGATTCAAAGAAAAGAAGAACTGAGTTTCAAGTGAACCATATAGTGAATTGTGGGAAAGGTTCAAGTGGGTGAGATGGTGAGAGATTTGCAAGTGAAGAGGAAGGGATACCTCCTTTGAGCCCTTTGGAAGGCAAGAGCAAACGGGTGACCCAACCATCTTGATCACAAGTGATGCCCTTCCAGTGACACACAATCAAGGATGTCCAATTTAAAGGAGGAGAAGATAGAGTGAAGGCAAAGGACAGGAGGGAGCTGCGTTCAGTTTGTTTGCATGCATGAATATTGTAGATACAATGCAAGAGAATAAGAGGAAGAGAAGGAAGACATGAGCCATTAGGTTATAAGCTTGCACTAGCATGTTGCTTTGTGTATATGCCGTTGCTCACATGTATTTATATATATATATATATATATAAGAACAACCATGCTTGAAAACGATGCAAACCACCACCACACAATGCAAATTGAGAAGCTGAATGCAAATCATTGATATTGAAACCTTTGGGCCACCAGAAGAGGACTTGGCCTTCACAAAGTACTCAAACTTGTTGCCGTGATATATCAATCACAAGAAATATCTGATTTCCCTTGCCAATATCCATGCTGGTTGCGTTATCGACCTTATGACAGTCGAGTTAAATTGCAAATGTCTTACAACTTGTTTATTGCAGAGTTGTTATAAGCTGTATAGGATGTGTCATGATTTTTTTTTTTTTTTTTTTTTTACAGTAATAAAAAATCTCACGGATGTGGTTAATGCGTTTTTAGATTTGGATGCAAACAACAACCACAAAATGCAAATTATTGATATTGAAACCTTTGGGCTAGCAGGAGAGGACTTGACCGTGATATAGGTGATAAACAGAATCCTTGTTGAATTCAAATTGGAATATGTTTCGAATTCAAACTGGGAAATTCGAATTGGAGGATAGTCATTTTTTCCAAGTTGATTGCAATAATGTTGATAGCAATAATGCGAACTTCCAACTAACAACTATAATAAATATTGATAGCAATAATGTTAAACCCTCTGAGTGGGCACAACTAATAACTATATTTAGCAATAGAATGAGCCCCAACATTCAAAAAGCAATTATGCGAACTTCCAAGGCTAACATTGACTCCCTAAGAGGAAATTTTCATCATCGAATTCCAGAGACCAAACACTGTCTTTTTTTCTTTGTGAACTGGGGTGGGGAGGGCAAATGCACCCCAGAAGCAACTACATAGAATTAGAAATACAAATCAAACAGGCTTTAGAGACCTGACCCAGCTCATCTTTTATTTTTAAGGCAACTGATAACTGATACCAGCTCATCTTCCATGTTAATCACTCAAAGTCCAAGTTCAAAGTTGTTTTCTTGTTGATGATTCTTCTAAGAACTCATCTTTGTCGTTTGAGTATCTTATCTCCACAGAATTAGGAACAGCTTGTAATTTGAAACTTGTATTGATATAAATACAGCCAGCCACCCAATGTTTGACGTGTGCTTTCCCTCATTGGTGTTTCTTTCAAAAAAATGACAATTTTCAAGGACTTTGGAAGATATATGGTGTTATTTTTCTTGCCAGATTGATATGGCCTGAGAGTGACAGTGCCAGTCAAGCCTGATCCGACATTATACATTGACGTTATTTTTAAGGCAGCTGATAACTGATACCAGCGAGCACATCTTCCATGTTAATCACTTAAAGTCCAAGTTCAAAGTTGTTTTCTTGTTGATGATTCTTCTAAGAAAATTCAAAATTGGAGGATAGTCATTTATTCCAAGTTGTTTGCCCAACAAGAAGGCAACTACTATAATAAAGTTTCTTGGTAGAGCAATAATGTTGAACCCTCTGAGCGGGCAGAACTTAACAAATACTTGCTAAATATATTGATAGCTATAAAATGAGCCCCACCAGGAACAAGTGTATTGTGTTGAGTTGTGGAGAATAATTCTAGGAAACGAGTGTTTGGATGTTGGCATGCAGATGTCGCATTTCGAGCAAGCTGCAAGCTAAAAGGCAGTTCTGTGAAAGTTGCATCTAATTTTTTGATTTTCTTATAGTGAGCTTGAAAGCGATGCAGTTATGACTTGAAGTCAATTGAATTGCCCCCCTAGATGACTTGATGTGAAAGAATCTGAGGTTGTATTTGCCCCCCTAGATGACTTGAAGTCAATTGAATTGCTTTCAGGGACCTACATGAGTAAATGCTTATTGGAAACATACCAGTAAAGTTATGACTAAGTCTGGAAAAATCAAGCACGCAGATATCTCCTTCCAAGTTGTTGGATTGGATCCCAAGTGTAGTTCTACAAGGTTTGTGAAATTCATCAAAGATGAGGGCAAAGAACCTTGTAAATTGTTGAAATCAAGGGTCACAAATTTCAACTTGGAGAGCTTCCCAAAAATAATCAGTGAGAAATCACAGCAAAAAAACACTAAAAAGATGCCCATTGGGATGAATATTTTTCACTAAACCTTGCTTGAGAGTGACATGGCCTGAGATATATGGGCATGTCTGCCACTAATCTTGCTTCTAAATAATCACTCTTAATTTGGGTTTGACTGGGATGTGAAATTGGATGAGTTGGTGATGAACTGAAATGGGTTCTGATCACTTGTTCTTGTCTTAAATTACTAAAGCAAGCTGCAAGCAGAAGCACTGAGACTGAGAGAGACTAATTTATTTGTTGTGGGTTTTGTTTGTATTGTTGACTGGGATGAATGAACTAACGATGAAGTGAATTGGGTTGTATTCACCATTGTTCCTGTATTTAAGTTACTAAGCCAAGCACAAGCGCAAGCACCTAGAGAAAAAATTATACATATAATTGCTTTTGGGTTTTGTTTAGATTTTTCAATTGATTAGGAGGATGACTAATAGAAGAAAAATAAGAGAGCATTGCCCTATCATAGTGGTTTCATTAAACAGTCTTCTGCTTTCTGCAAATATGTGCACTACATGACATGACATGACATGACATGACTAGTACCAAGTAGCAAAGCAAAGATACGATTAATCCAATCAGATTCGACCCTGAAAGTGTAATCATATTCAGATAAAAAGGCAACCAGGTTCGCACCCAGCAATAAGCCAAACAAAATATCATTCCAGACCGGTGACATAAAAAACCTACAGCCCATCTCGAGCAGCCTCCTTGCTTATCTACAGCATGCCTACAAGACTCATGGTGACGTAGCCTCAAGCACAGTAACGGTTTGTACCGGGGATGCCTCCATCATCCCTGCCTGGTGTGTAGTTATCTTGGTATTGCCCAGGAACCCCTCATCTGCATTAGGCGGTGGACCTCCCATGTTATTTGGTGGTGGGGGCACTCAACTTTCAAACAAACTCACATATGAAAAAGAAATAACAGAGCTACTCTTGTTCGATGTTTTGTACCATACACAATCCAACCTCAAGTAAACCCCACTAATATTTTACACAGATGCCACGAATCCATAATATCAAACATAAAATTGGAACAGAGAAAGCACACACACCAGAAACGGTCTCCTCAGAGCATCGATTTTTGTCATGGTGTGCAGTGAAACGTGAACTTATGCCCAGCCGCATCAACAATTAGTCTTTCAGCTCCACCTACACATCAAATTCATAAATACAGCCTTCAACAACAATAGAAAGAAGAAGTAGAAATTACCTATGCCCAGAAAATAATAGCAACGTTCAACAATTTCTTCGCCATTTTCAGCTCTCCAATTCTCTGCATTCTAATCAAAGTCTCAAAAGATAAGCTTTTTTCTGCAAATTGGGCCAGAACTGGGTCGGTTCTGGCCCAACATTTGTAATATAAAGTATTGGGTTCTGGCCGAGTTCGATATGATCCGACCCATTTCAGTTTCAGACCAAAAACAGGTCGTGATCTTTCTCAGTACTCAACTTCTCGCACAGAAGAATCTGAAGAAGAGGAGAAGAGAAATGAATGGAGAAGAATTAGCGGGCCTCCCAGGCCCCAAAGCTCCGCCGTCTGCTTTATTTTTTGGGAGTATCACTAAAACACTCAAAATAGGGGCTGAAATTAATAAAAAACCCAACACCCAAAACACTTTATAAACACACCCAAAACCCATCATTACACACACTCAAAACCCATTTATAAACACACCCAAAAACTATACAATTGTTGATTTTGGGGTTGATTTTGGGTGTGTTTCTATGCTTAAATAGTGTTTGGGTTTTTTTATAAATACATGTCTATGATTGGGTTTATTTATAAATTTGTATTATTTTTCGGCGTTGGCTGCAAGTCATGAATTTTCATTTCAATTTTAAGTCTTTGGTTCTTAAGTCTTTTTCTTCTTCCTTTTTAAATGTTTGGTGGATTTTAAATTCAGTTGTTTCTTTCAGGGCTTCATGATAGGTTCGCAGATTCAGAAAAGGAAAACAAAGAAGCAAATTAAAGGAAAAGGCATTCATGACCCCTCTCTGTACCAGCTATTAGTACTTATAAATGATTCTGAATGATGCCAAAAGGATAACCGTATCCTAGCTTTACGGGAAATAGAATCTAAACTATTGCAATGAAATAGAAAGGATGGATAGGTCCTATCACTTCATGGAAGAGGTCCATCCGACGACAATGCAGTGTTTTTATGTGAAAATTTATCAGGTGAATCTGTCATGACCAGAAATGAAGAAGAAGAAAAAGAAAAAAATTAAAAGCAAACTGAAAATGCAAAATAAAAAGTACAATATTAATAATATATATCTAGTCTCGAAGTCTTCTGTACATCCTGTTGATGGGGACTGTTATCATCACATAGAGGAGCCTATCTTGTACGTTGTTTATGAATCGAAAATATGCATATCTCCAAGTCTTGTTAATAATTAAACAACCACAAACTCCCCAAAATCCCACTATAAACCCCAATGCTGCAAAGATATAAAACCATGGAAGTTGATGAAGCCAATTGTGCACGTCTTTGTTGTTCTTGTTATCTGCATCAATGCCCTTATTTGGTTCACACTTTGGAAGTGGCGCACCACAAAGTTTTGGGTTCCCCTCAAACGCAGAAGCTTCGAAGCTTTGGAGCTGGGTGCCTGTTGGTATCGATCCTTCAAGGTTATTATATGAGACATTAAATTCTTTTAAGAAATTAAGGCTCGCCAATGACGATGGGATTATTCCAGACAAGTGATTCATGGAGAGGTTCAAAACCTCTAAATTTTTTAGGTTAGATATTTGGTCTGGAATGACACCGGAGAAGTTGTTGGAGTCAAGACTCAACGTGTAGAGAAGATGCAATTGGCTGATCTCCGTGGGTATATCACCAACAATGTTATTCGTAGACAAGTCTATCGTTGCTGGAAAAAAATACAATTTTTGTGATAGAAAAGTTTGATTTACGGTTATGCTAATGCTGCTGCTGTAGACAGGAAATTCAAATTCATAATTGTCTCCTTGAGATGCAATTGGTTCATGAAACAACCTTGGTAGTCGACAAAGTTGCTGTGGAAATTTACCTGAAATTTGGTTGTGTGACAAGCTTATATAAAATAGTCTAGGAAGAGTCCCCAACCAACTTGGAATCGGCCCTGTGATTTGATTAAAACCCAGAGCCAAGATCTCTATATTCTTGAGCTTTGATAACCAAAAAGGTATTTTACCAGTGAGGTTAGAACGAACCAAACCCAAGAGCCGAAGATTTTGGAATCCATCAAAATCAACCATGTCATCATCAGATGGCATTCCCTCACCCACAAAGGAACCGCTAAGCAAGAGTGCGTGAAGACTTTTGCAACTCATCAATATCTTCATTGCCCCTGTGAGGTTGGTGAATCGGTTGTAACCAAGCGAGAGGAAGGACAAGGATTTCAATGAAAGTATCTCAGCTTGTATTTGTCCCTCTAGATTATTTCCAGTCAAACCGAATGGCTTTCAGGAACCTACATAAGTAAAGGCTTACTGGAACCGTACCAGTGAAGTTATTGATCCGTAGGTCAAGTTTAGTAAGTTGACTCAATCTTGAGAAATTAAGCACAGAGATATCTCCTTCCAAGTGGTTGTTTCCCAAACGCAGTTCGACAAGGTTTGTGCAATTCATCAAAGATGGGGGCAACACACCTTCTAAATTGTTGAAATCTAAGGTCACAAACTTCAACTGGAAAGCTTCCCCAAATTGTGAGGAAGCTTGCCGCCAAAATGATTAGAGGAAAGGTCAAGGATGGCAAGGTTGGTGGGGTTGACAATTTTACCACTAATGGCTCCATGTAGTGAATTGAGAGGTAATGCAATTTCTTCCAGTTTGGTAGCATTATAGATATCTTCTGGAAGTAATCCTGAGAGGTTATTGTGATTGGCACGAAAAACCTGCAGTTCAGAACACTTCCCTAACCCAGGAGCAAGGTCGCCATTAAATTGATTGGAAGAAAAATCCAATAGCCTAAGGAAGGGAGAAGAATGTTGGAGACAAATAGAGGATGAGACATACCCTGTGAAGCTATTGTTGCTGACATTGAAACTAGTTAAGTTGCTTGCTTGTTGGAAGAATGAAGATGGAATTGCACCAAAGAAGTGATTGCTGGACGATGGAGAAAGTGGTAGCTCTCCAAAAAGACGGTTATAGCTCAAATCAAGGATCTCGAGTTGATTCAAAGAAAAGAAGAACTGAGTTTCAAGTGAACCATATAGTGAATTGTGGGAAAGGTTCAAGTGGGTGAGATGTGTGAGATTTGCAAGTGAAGAGGGAGAGATACCTCCTTTGAGCCCTTTGGAAGGCAAGAGCAAACGGGTGACCCAACCATCTTGATTACAAGTGATGCCCTTCCAACGACAGCAATCAAGGGATGTCCAATTTAAAGGAGGAGAAGAGAGAGTGGAGGTAAAGGACAGGAGGGAGCTGCGTTCAGTTTGTTTGCAGGCATGAATATTTGTAGATATAATGTAAGAGAATAAGAGGAAGAGAAGGAAGGCATGAGCCGTTAGGTTATAAGCTTGCACTAGCATGTTGCTTTGTGTATGTGCCTTCACTCAGAGGTATATTTATATATATAAGAGCAACGATGCTTGAAAAGGATGCTTGGCAAACAACAACCGCACAATGCAAATTATTAATATTGAAACCCCTCTATACGTCGAAGATATATTTTCCACTACTGAAACCAAAGAGACGACCCCTTTTTGGGCCACCAGGAGAGGACTTGACCTACTTAATTTGTGGGCTTCACATAGTAATCAAAGTTGTTGCCGCGATATATGGTGATAATTTTTCTTGGAAATTTTTGGAAGATATATGGTGTGATTTTTCTTGCCAGACAGACATGGCCTTTGGCCTGAGAGTGATGGGTATGTCTGTCACTAACCTTGCTTGTAAATAATTGCTCATAATTTGTATCAATTGCCTTTTGGGTTTACTTGGGATGTGAAATTGGATGAGTTGGTGATGATCACTGGTTCTGATCACTTGTTCTTAAGTTACTAAAGCAAGCAGAAGCACTGAGACTGACAGAGACAATAATTTCTTTGTATATAATTGCTTTGTGGGTTTTGTTTGTATTGTTGAATGGGATGAATGAACTAATGATGAAGTGAATTGGGTTGTATTCACCATTGTTTCTGTATTTAAGTTACTAAGCCAAGCACAAGCACTGAGAGAAAAAATTGTACATATAATTGCTTTCTGGGTATTGTTTAGATTGTTCAATTGATTAGGAGGATGACTAATCGGTGAAAAATAAGAGAGCATTGCCCTATCATAGTGGTTCATTAAACTGTCTTCTGCTTTCTGCAAATATGTGCACTACATGACATGACTTGTATCAAATCAAGTAGCAAAGCAAAAATACGATTAATCCAATTAGATACGACCCTGAAAGTGTAATCATATTCAGATAAAAAGGCAACTAGGTTTGCACTTGCTGATCCAGGATTTGAAAGCCGGTTGGGCAAAACTTACTTATGAAACTTGACAATGCAAGTGAATTTCATTCATAAAAATAAAAAGATATACATAGTCAAGGGATGTAATGAGTATTACTCTCAAATGCATCTCTATACATAAATAAAAGCTTAACAAAAACCACAAGTAAATACAATGCAATACAAAACAACACTATTTAAATCTAAAAATTTTCCCTACGAGAAGCTTAGAAGTCTTAAATTCTTCAACTATCGCTGCATTATTGACCATGATATATGTGATAAACAGAATCCTTGTTGAATTCAAACTGGAATATGTTTTGACTATTTCCTTTTATTTTTAAGGCAGCTGATAACTGATACCAGCTCATCTTCCATGTTAATCACTCAAAGTCCAAGTTCAAAGTTGTTTTTCTTGTTGATGATTCTTCTAAGAACTCATCTTTGTCGTTTGAGTATCTTATCTCCACAGAATTAGGAACAGCTTGTAATTTGAAACTTGTATTGATATAAATACAGCCAGCCACCCAATGTTTGACGTGTGCTTTCCCTCATTGGTGTTTTCTTTCAAAAAAATGACAATTTTTCAAGGACTTTGGAAGATATATGGTGTTATTTTTCTTGCCAGATTGATATGGCCTGAGAGTGACAGTGCCAGTCAAGCCTGATCCGACATTATACATTGACGTTATTTTTAAGGCAGCTGATAACTGATACCAGCGAGCACATCTTCCATGTTAATCACTTAAAGTCCAAGTTCAAAGTTGTTTTCTTGTTGATGATTCTTCTAAGAAAATTCAAAATTGGAGGATAGTCATTTATTCCAAGTTGTTTGCCCAACAAGAAGGCAACTACTATAATAAAGTTTCTTGGTAGAGCAATAATGTTGAACCCTCTGAGCGGGCAGAACTTAACAACTACTTGCTAAATATATTGATAGCTATAAAATGAGCCCACCAGGAACAAGTGTATTGTGTTGAGTTGTGGAGAATAATTCTAGGAGACGAGTGTTTGGATGTTGGCATGCAGATGTCGCATTTCGAGCAAGCTGCAAGCTAAAAGGCAGTTCTGTGAAAGTTGCATCTAATTTTTTGATTTTCTTCTAGTTAGCTTGAAAGCGATGCAGTTATGACTTGAAGTCAATTGAATTGCCCCCCAAGATGACTTGATGTGAAAGAATCTGAGGTTGTATTTGTCCCCCTAGATGACTTGAAGTCAATTGAATTGCTTTCAGGGACCTACATGAGTAAATGCTTATTGGAAACGTACCAGTAAAGTTATTTACTAAGTCTGGAAAAATCAAGCACGCAGATATCTCCTTCCAAGTTGTTGGATTGGATCCCAAGTGTAGTTCTACAAGGTTTGTGAAATTCATCAAAGATGAGGGCAAAGAACCTTGTAAATTGTTGAAATCAAGGGTCACAAATTTCAACTTGGAGAGCTTCCCAAAAATAATCAGTGAGAAATCACAGCAAAAAACACTAAAAAGATGCCCATTGGATCACTAACCTTGCTTGAGAGTGACATGGCCTGAGATATATGGGCATGTCTGCCGCTAATCTTGCTTCTACATAATCGCTCTTAATTTGGGTTTGTTTCGGATGTGAAATTGGATGAGTTGGTGATGAACTGAAAATGGGTTCTGATCACTAGTTCTTGTCTTTAAGTTACTAAAGCAAGCTGCAAGCAGAAGCACCGCGAGTCCGCGACTCAGAGAGAATAATTTCTGTGTCTAATTGCCTTATGGGTTTTGTTTGTATAGTTGAATGGAATGAATGAACAAATGATGAAGTGAATTGGGTTGTATTCACCATTGTTCCTGTACTGAAGTTACTAAGCCAAGCACAAGCGCAAGCACCTAGAGAAAAAATTATATATATACTAAAACTGAATCCAGGAATTCACTGTTCCTAGACTGTAGCTTAGCAATAGTGAAGTGACGTTTGTGTCCCTCTCTTTTTACTGTTTGCACACTCATTTTTCTCATCAGAACAGTGAAATCACGGTTTTGTCCTTAATTAATTAGTTTCGTCTCTTTCCCGTTTTGCCCCCCGTCTCCTTCGATGCCTACATCTGGAATGTTCGACGTTTTTGCAGAACCATCTGCCCAAGCCTTCAGTTTTCGTTTCCATCGTTCGCCCCCTTCGTTGCCTTCTTCTTTCCATCCGGTTCCATTGTTCACCTGTTTCCTTGCCTTCTTCTCTTTTGATTTGAAAATCAATCTCTATCTAAAAGCTGTGCGCACGGGTAACGCCGCCGTCGGCGTACGTGGCACCGACACCATCGTTCTCGGCGTCAAAAAGAAGTCCACAGCAAGCTCGAGGACTCCAGGTCCATCTCTCTCTCTCAAACAATGTTTTTCTGTGCTTTTATCTAACAGATTGAAAATGAGGTTGGGTTCAGGGTTAGGGTGCAAGAAAAAAACAGAGTAATTAATTTTCTATTTTATATTTTGATTTGTATTTGTGACTATTTGATTACGCAGGCATACTTACTAACCATTTGTTTGTTTGTCCTTGAATTGCGAATCCTCAAGTGATTTACAGGGCCTGTTTGGAATTCAAAGGAAAATTGAGCAAATTGAGTCATTATTATGCTTGGATTCAACAGGTGTTTTCTTTGATATTTTGCAGGAGTTCTTTTGTTGCTTTGGATAGAGCAGTTTGATTGGTGTTTTCAGTTCTGTTAAGTAAGAGGTGAGTTTCTAGGCTGAAAATGCAATTAATTGTTTTAAGTCATCAATTTACAATTGGTTGGTGTTAATTTGTTGTTGTAGTGATAGATTTAGATGTTTACAATATCTGAGCATGTTGGTGAACCTTTGAGTGTTTTGACAATTGGGCTTTCTTTTTTTGTTTTTTGATTTTCACATTGTTTAGTTTATAGAGTTTTTGTACAAGTAAAGAAAGCCTCTGGATTACAAGGTTGTAATTTGATATGTACGCTTTTGCTGTTGTTTTTACTCTGAATTTTATCTTTAGTTTTGTTTTCAATTGAGGATCCATATACATTAGCTATTGTTTTGTTTACAAAGGTTAGAACTAAAGAATCACTTTATAATATTTCAATTGATCTGCTACTGTTATTGGATTCCTGGATATTGTTTTCCTTCTTATTTGACTTCCATATCATATTAGTACATCCACCATATAGACACATCTTTCATGCTCTATTTTTTGTTCGTCTTGCTTTAAAAAGTTTATTATTAAATTTTCTTGAGCATGGTTTTCTTTTGTTTATTGTAAAAAAAAAAAAAAAGAAGAAAAAAAAAGGAGAAACTTTGGTAGATTGAATGATAGAGTAGAGAGTCAACACACAAACGGACATTTGATGGTGGAAAAGGGAAATTCCAAATGCAATACCTGTGAATCTTGGGACTTTTGTTTGTCTTCTTAACACACTCTTCGTCTTGACATTCAATCTTTTCCTATGTTTTCTTTAATTTTCTTATTTTGAATCACTAGCAGAGCAATGGGATTCCCAACTTTTTTCAAAACTGAAAATGGTTAATATACGAAATGGAATTAAAGGTGGAACTGTTTTTCCCCCTTTTTTCTTTTCTTTTCTATTTCTGTGTTTAAGGAAAAGAAATTATTAACGTGTTGGATTTGGTGAGATTTTCTCTATAGCTCTTGGACATTTTAATTTTTATCTTAATTTTGATTCGTTTGAGTCATAGTGTTTATTGGTGCCACGTATTTTACGGTTCTTTTGTGATTGAATGTGTGTGAAATTTTTTGTGTATTTGGCTTCTGTTTTCTTTTATATCTAATTTTTTGATGGCATTTCATAGCCATTGTTTAGTTGTAGTCTATGATAAATGATAGTAATGGATACCAAATAATCTTCCTGTGCTTTGTGGGAAAACAGATGAAAAGGAACAAAAAGTAAAAAAGGGAATCTAAGATTCAAAAACTTTTATGTTTTTATTCTCTGTTTTAGAAACACTTGCTTTTATCCCCCAACAAAAACAATCAATTCATCAGCTGTTGATGGATTACTCTAAATTGTGTTTGTATAAAGGCATTTTCCATTGAAATTATGATTTAGATAAGTGGTATGATTGATTTTTCATTGAATTGATGAATTGAGTATATGTTATATTAAACATTTGACTATGGTTATGAACCGGACATGTTCAAGGTTTAGTATTTTTTAAATCAAATTAATAAACTTCGCATCTATTATTCCTTTTTTTTTTCTTTTTTTTGTGAACTAAAATTTTGTAATGTGCATTGGCGGATGACACTAATACTTAACAAGATAAGTGAGATTATGAATGAGGATTCTGTAATGAGTTTTTGAAATTCTCTGTTTTTCACTTTACAGGAAAAAATGGAAAATTGTTGTTGATTCTATTAGTATAATTTTTTTAGGCACCGTGTTTCTGGGATTTTGTTGCTTGCTGAGTTTATTCTCTATGTTTTTCATTTTGAATCATTACAACTGAGGTATTCTAGCTATCTCAGCCTTTGATTGTTGCTTTTGATTGAATTGGTTGATAAACAAGAAGATAATTTCTTAGAATCTCTGTTGATAAATGAGTAATTGTTGATAACCTTTTTTTCCTTTTTCTTTCCTTTGTTGCATCAATTATTATAAAACTTCGATCCAATTTAAGAAAATGCACAAATTGGTTAATTAGATTCCATGAATTATATGTGAATAATATGCAAATTCATAAAAACAAACATTATTAATTCAATTATAATAAATGAATATGTCAATAAAAAAAAAAAAAAAAAAAAAAAAAAAAAAAAAAAGTAATTAGTTTTGACCAAAGGTTGGTATATTAAAGCTAATGAACTAATGAACCAAAAGTTGATGCATAAAAGCATGACCAATGTTGCTTTTCATATTTGATTTTCAAGTCTATTGATGTGCAAAATAGTTAGGTTTAATGTATGCTAGGAATGTATCATTGATGGTGTGTCAAAATAGTTAGGTTTAATGTATGCTAGGAATATCTCATTGGGTAAGTGTCAATAAAATCTTTGTTTTTGTTCTCAATTACTGTTTATGCCATGCTTGAACCCGAAGTATAAGATGTGATGATAATTGAAATCCCTAGAGACCAATCTTGCTTCTGATATTTTATTTTCAACTAATTTGCTTAGAAAAAAAAAGGCATAATTTCATTGCTCACTATTGATTAAAGGTATCTACTTTTCTTTTGGCTGAGTGATACCTCTCTTAAAGATTTTATGAAATTGCTCATTCTTACTAATCAAGAAATCTATAATCTAACAAACTAAATCACCAACTTTATCACTAACTTTTTAGAGTTAATAGGATACTCAAATATAACAGATCAGTTATATAATTAAGGATACACCATGTGTCAATATCTTTGCCTACGATTTTTTGACCTTGGTTGTAATTGACAGATACAATTTTTGTTGCTGATCTTGGCGAGAACCTTGGCTTTTACATGGGTAATTTCTCTCTCTCTCTCTCTCTCTCTCTCTCTCTATACATATATATATATATATATATGAAAGTTTGAAATTTTCAAAAGTAATTAGCTTAGAAGTTGCTGCTTTTAATGTGTTGTTACTTCGGTTTTTCTTATATTTTATTTAGAGCATGTATGTGTGTATATATATATATATATATTAATCAGAATGTATATATAAGTCATGTGCTTTCAAACCACAATCACAAACAGAATCTGTATGTTTTTATTTTTTGCTCTTTTGATTATTCCTTGATTTCATTTTTTCGGTTGTGTTTGTTATAGGTGTTGTCTTAACTGCGTTTTCGACTGTTTGATAGCTCTTCCCATTGTTGTTAGGCAACAGGTCAGTTTTCTATTCGTCTTCTGAAGAAGTCATGCATATCAACTGTAGAAAATTGGTTTTTGGATATTGTTTCATTTGAAAATTGTTATTTCTGTGGTTATGATGTTCTTGCGTATATCTGGTTTGCTTGGTTAGGCTGCAGAAATTGTGTTTAATTTGTTTTCAGATGTTGTGTTGTTTGAAAAATCTTATTTTTATAGCTGGAGTACTGTTGGTGTGTGTCCATTTTGCTTGATTAGGCTATAGATGTAATAAAAATATTATAAGTTAACTCATGCAATTTTTTTTTCCCTTCCCAGCTATCGATCTGTTGGTTGGAATTTGTAATTTTTGGATATCATGTCTAAAAGGATTGCAAAAACCAGAAAAAGGCTGAGAACACAGGAAACCCATATTTCTTCCACTTCGAGTGGTGCACAACTCTGTCATGAAAATGTTTGTTGCACTAATACTAAGCATAAGCATCAAGCCAAAAAAAATTCTGGAACCAGAGTTTCTAATAGAGCTTTCATAGTGCAACAAGCTAGCACAAGTCAAACAACCAGAGAAGAGATTTCATTTGACATTTCTGATCAGATGAATAGGGGTCAAGCATTTTATCAGAGGAAGAGGCAAAGTGCGTTTTTCCTCTGTTAAATATTTATTTTAAACCGTATCTTGATATTACTTATGGCATACATTTGTCTTATTTTTTTCTCTTTTTGCCCTGTTCTATGTTTCCTTTCTTTGTAGGAATGATGGAACAGTATGTGGATTTGGGAGATAAAAATTATAAGTGCATTTATTGTGGTGCACTTTTTTGGTTCAAAGAATCTGTTAAAAAAGCAAATGCAGCCAATGAGCCTCTTTTTACTCTTTGTTGTCAACAAGGAAAGATCAAACTTCCGATTTCAAAGCCAACACCTCCTTTTTTAGAAAATTTACTTGATCCGAGTAAAGGCCCAAAAAGTTTGCTGTTTAGAGAGAATATCAGGGCCTATAATTCTATGTTTGCATTTACTTCAATGGGAGCCAAAGTTGATCACTCAATAACAGTGGACCAGGTCCTTACATTTTTAAAATTAGTGGTCAAGTTCATCATTTAATGGGTTCTTTGTTACCCCTTGAAGGTGAATGTCCAAAATTTGCTCAGCTTTACATATATGATACCCATAATGAAACAATGAATCGCCTTAACGCTGTTAATTGTAAAGAAAGGAATGAAAAGCTTGATGAAGACATTGTTCAAGGTTTGATTAAGATGTTTGATGAATCAAATGAATTGGTAAAACTTTTTCGAATAGTCAGGGATAAATTCGAAAGGGGTTGTCTAACTTCTTTAAAACTGAGATTGTTGGGCCGACAGGCAGATGATAGTAAACAATATGAACAACCGACATGTGATGAAATTGGTGGTTTGGTTGTGGGAGATATAGGCCTTTTTGATTCGAATAGAGATATTGTTATAGAGTTGAAAGCTGGAGAGTTGAAACGAATCACAAAATTAAATCCAAAGTTCATGTCTTTGCAATATCCTATTCTTTTCCCTTATGGCGAAGATGGTTATAGACCTGATTTAAAATGGAGCAATGATTACAAAGGTCATGACCCCAAAAGAGGAAGGGTGCCTATGAGAGCTTTCATAGCTTACCAGATTCAGGAAAGAGGACCTTTATTGGATACATTGTTAAAAGGTGGAAGATTGTTCCAACAGTTTTTAGTAGATTCTTACGCAACACTTGAAGAAGATCGATTGGATTACATTAGAAAAAATCAAACAAATTTGAGAAGTGAGATTTATAAAGGTATTTATGATGCAATTTCAAAGGGTGATAGTGATGCCAATAATGTGGGACAAAAAGTGATATTGCCTAGCTCATATACTGGAAGTACTAGATACATGCTTAATAACTATCAAGATGCTATGGCAATTTGTAGGCATTATGGTAATCCTGATTTGTTTATAACTTTCACATGCAATGTCAAATGGCCTGAAATTGTTAGAGAACTTGACAACAAGCCTGGATACAAAGGAGAGGATAGACCTGATCTAATTTCTAGAGTGTTTAAAATGAAGCTTGATGATATGATCAATTATATCAAATCAGGAAAAGTTTTTGGAGAAGTTGAGGCAGGTGAATTTTACAAACTCATAATTTCTGCTATCCTCAATTTCTAAGATATATATACATTTTTTTTTAATGATAATAAAACTTATTAGGTTTTTGTGTGTATTTGTTGCCCTCATCACAAACAGAAATTTGCACGATCGAGTTCCAAAAAAGGGGATTGCCTCATTGTCATATGTTGGTTTGGTTGAAAGAAGGTTATAAATGCTTCTCAGCAGTAGATATAGATTCTATCATTTGTGCTGAATTACCAGACAAGGATGTGGATCCTATGCTTTATGACGTTGTAAACCAATTCATGATCCACGGTCCGTGCGGAGAAATCAATCGTAATTCTCCATGCATGCGGGGAGGTATGTGTTCTAAATCTTTTCCCAAACAATACAAGAGTGAATCAGTTTTTGAAAAAAATGGTTTTCCCACATATAGGCGCCGTGAAGATCCAACAAAATTTGTGTTAAAAAATGGAATAAAGGTTGACAATAGCTTTGTGGTGCCTTACAATTCAGAACTATTATTGAGATACAACGCTCACATAAATGTTGAATCATGTTGCCAATCAATGCTTATAAAATATCTGTTTAAATACATAAACAAAGGTTCAGATAGAGCTAGAGTAGTTTTCAAGACAAGCCAGAGGATGAGATATTAGCTTATCTTAATTGTAGATACATATCTCCATATGAAGCCGTTTGGAGATTGTTTCAATACCCTATTCATTCTAGAGAGCCTGCTGTTGAACGATTATCCATACATTTGCCTTTAGAACAAAATGTTGTTTTCAATGGTGATCAATCACTTGAATCAATTGTTAGCCAAAAGGGTATTGAAGATACTATGCTAACAAGTTGGTTTAAAGCAAACCAAATGTTTCCTGAAGCGCGAACATTGACTTATACAGAATTCCCTACAAAATTTGTATGGGATTCTCGCAACAAAATTTGGAAACCTAGGAAACGAAGGAGATCAATAGGTAGAATTGCCTATGTACATCCTACATCTGGTGAATTGTATTACTTGAGAATGCTTTTGAATTTGCAAAAAGGTGCCTTAAATTTTGATCACATCAAAACTATTGATGGAATCATACATCCGTCATATCAGGCTGCATGCAAATGCCTTGGTTTGTTAGGAGATGATAAAGAATGGATTGAGGCCTTAGCAAATGCTGTGGACACAGCCTCATGTTCTCAACTAAGACAATTGTTTGTTACAATCATTTTGTTTTGTGATGTAGGAAATCCTCAATTGCTTTTTGATACTTATTGGCAAAATATGTGTGATGACATTTTGTACAAACTACAGAAAGCTTTTCTAATGCCAAATCTTATTTTGTCAGAATCTGAATTAAAAAATTCGCTTTTGTTTGAATTAGAACAACTTTTTAACACATCATCTAGCTCTTTAAAAGATCATTATCTTCCAATGCCTGATGAACATAAAATGTCAGAAATTAGAATTAAATTGCTAAGAGAAGAGTTAAATTATGATGTTCATCATTTAGCAAAAGAACACTCAATTTTGATAACACAGCTAAACAAAGGCCAAAAAGATGTATATGATTCTGTGATTAATGCTGTGAATGAAAAAAAACCAGGCCTTTTTTTTGTTCATGGCCATGGAGGAACTGGAAAAACTTTTTTGTGGCATACTATAATAAGTAAAATTAGATCTGAAGGCAAGATTGTTTTAGCTGTTGCTTCATCAGGAATAGCGTCATTATTATTGCCAGGTGGTAGAACAGCTCACTCTAGATTTAAGATTCCCTTAATTGTTACGAATTCCTCAACATGTCAGATTAAAAAAACAACTCATCTTGCTAGATTGATTCAAAAGGCTGAACTGATTGTTTGGGATGAAGCTCCTATGAATCATAAACATTGTTTTGAAGCATTAGATAAATCACTTCGTGATATTTTATCACATCAAAATGCTCCATTTGGTGGCAAGCCTTTTTTACTAGGTGGTGATTTTAGACAAATATTACCAGTTATTCCAGGAGGAACAAGAGAAGAAATCATAGACGCCTCTCTTAATAGCTCTTACTTATGGCCTTATTTTAAAATATTCTGTTTAAAAGAAAACATGAGGCTATCAAAAAAAGGGTTGAACAGTGAAGAAAAACAGAAAATAAGTGAGTTTGCTGCCTGGATTCTTCAAATTGGAAATGGCCAAATAATTGATATTGACGATCCAAATGATGAAGAGGCACCTTGGATTGAAATTCCTCAAGATTTACTCATTCAATCCAACATAGATCCTATTCAATCAATTTTTTTGGCAACTTACCCAGATTTCGACAAAAATTTTGCCGATTTTGCTTATTTAAGGGAACGAGCCATTGTTACAGCTAGGAATTCTACTGTGACAGAGATAAATAATTACGCAATAGACTTATTGCCTGGAGAAAAACGCATTTATTTGAGCTCAGATTCTTTATGTTCATCATCAACCAATTTTGAAAACCTTTGTATGATCTATCCCACAGAATTTCTCAATCAACTTGAATTCAATGGTTTGCCTGAACATAGTTTGACTTTAAAAATAGGCATGCCTATAATGTTATTGAGAAACCTAAATCAATCTTCAGGTTTATGTAATGGAACAAGATTAGTTGTGACCCAAATGGTTGATAGAGTTATTGAAGCAAAAATACTCACTGGTAGCCACATTGGCCACAAAGTGTTTATACCTAGGATCGTTCTTTCAGCAACAGAAAACAAATGGCCTTTCATTTTTAAAAGGCGCCAATTCCCAATTAGACCATGCTATGCTATGACAATAAACAAAAGTCAAGGTCAATCTTTAAAACAAGTTGGGTTATATCTTCCCCAACCTGTTTTCAGTCATGGGCAGCTTTATGTCGCGTTATCTAGAGCTACGTCTAGAGAAGGCCTCAAAATCATAATAGATAATAATAATGAAGTGCCAAATAAATACACTAAAAACATAGTGTACAAAGATGTTCTTCAAAATTTACTCTCAGGTTTCAGCTTCTATTCATACATGATTAAACATTCCTCTATTTTATGCAATAATTTTTTATGCATCTTTATACTAACGAAGGGCATATATGTTTTTTCTTCAGATTGATGGCACAATGAACATTGTTCCGATCCACAATTTGCACCGCTTTCAATCCAGTGTGAAAATTAGAATGTGTGTCCAAAACCTGGAGAACAAAGGTGTTCAGATTTGATGATCAACTTGCTGGTTTGCAATGTGTCTCGGTTGACGCAATGGTGAGAAAATCAGTTTTTTATACTATTTCAACTTAAACAATAACTGGATATACATGAATTGTGTATTTGCTTGAACATTAATATCTCACTGTTAACACAAGTCTTATTAATAAACTCTTATTGTTAATTATACAATCTAACCCTTGCCATTTGCCATAATTTTGGTATTTCATCTACATTTAGAAAATTCACCGCATTCAATTAAAGGTATATTTATGTTTAAACAACACCATTCGTTTTGAATGCTTATTCCCTCATTAATCGTGTATGCTTATCAGATTGATAGTTTGTTTATCTGATTTTTGCTTGAAATTTATTGCAATTTGTAATAACTTCTACAATTTAATAGAACGCATATGAAATAACGTGTACGCCACACAAAAAATCCCATTACTTTCTTCATGTCCATAAACAAACAACTTCTTATATATTTTGAACGTTAATATTTAGATGAAATTTTTATAATGAGTTATTGGATGAATGTTAATGATTTTTTTTTTTGTGGATAATGATTTATTGGATTGGATTAATATTGATGATTTTATGTCTGGATAATGATTGTTGGATTAAGTGACTATATATGATTATTTGATTTGTTGCTTAAATTTTGTGATGGACTTCTTTTCCTCCCACTGTTTGTTCATTTGTCTAAAAAAAAATGATTTGTTGATTAATTGATATGACTGTTTGGTTTGATTAATTCATGCGTATGATAGAAAAGGATAGAAGCTGCATTTGAAGCCTCATTTATTTGGCTTGCAGGCTTGATTTACTTCTCCAGGTTTTCATTCTCTACCAGCCATGTTTGACCCGATTTAGGTTGTTCCACACATCAATGCCATTAAGACTTGGATTGAATCAGTTTCTCTCATTCCTGTCAATGGAAAAGAGCGCTCTACATATTTTTATATTATAGAATTGGGTGCGACTGTGGATAAGCGATAGTTAAAACATAGACATGTTATATGACTCATTGTTCTTTTTCTGTGTTTATATGCAAGTGCTAACTATTTTCTTTATTGTTAGGTAACAGTGAATCCATGCCATTCATTGAGGCTCTGCGACAATTGTCTTTTTCAGTTGGTAAGGTTGTGGTATATGGCTGTTTTTTTTTAAGAAACTATGAGATAATTTCTTCGCCCACATGCTTGATTCGGATTGTTAATTATGTTTTTATGCTGTGTGATCAAAATATATCATTCAATTATTGTCGTTGGAGTCGCTGAGAGAAGGAAAACCTCATCCCCTTCATTGCAGCCCTCTCTCTCTCTCTTCTCTCTTCCTTTCTCTCCTCCGTTGCGAACGATTATCTGGAGGCTTCGACTTTATAGGAGTGGCGTGTGTTGGTCTTCTTCTTCAGATCAAACTCCAGCTTTCTCTCTGTTTCAGTCTCTTTCTCTCACTGATCTGTAAGTAAATTTTGCTTCATCTTTCCATTCGATTTTTGTTGCCCTTCTTTTTCATTTTTGTTGTTACTAATATCTTGGATCTTATTTGATTAAACTATGAGACCTGTTTTAATTTGCTGCCCTAAAAGTCCAAATCCCTAATTTTTCCTCATAGTGGGTCTGTGTTATTGATTTGCAAATTTTATCCAAATACTAAAATTGATTTGATTGTGTTATTATTTTCATGAAATCAGGTTAAACAATTTAGTTATTAAAATACTATATGATTGCTTTTGGTAAGGTTTTCTGTTTGGTTATTAAAAATTAGTTGGTAAACCCTGAAATCGGTATTTGGATATGCTGGTTCTTTTGTTATAGGGTTTAGGATAGCTCTGTTTTGGTAAGCAGGATGTGCTGCTA